GGACAATGCGGGGTCACGGGGTCATTCCGGAAGCTATAAGGGAGTGATTTTCATATATTGTGCTTGTCCATAACTGGCTTTGTCTCCGCCATGACCTCCATGATGACCTCCGTTGCCTCCTCCATGACCGCCGTGGTGACCTCCGCCGCCACAGCAGGCCAAGGACTTGGCGCCGACGAAGGCGACGGCGAGAGCCAGGAGGAGGACGAGGGCGAGGAACCGCATCTGAAGGGAGCGTCGAGGGAGAAGGACCCTGAGGAGCTTGGCCTTTTCGGGAAGCATTTTTGTTATTAATTAAATTTATTAATTTAGTCAATATTTTTTCATTATACTAATTATTACTATTATTGTTCTTATCATTTTTACTGTTACTTTATTATTATTTATTATTATTACTGCTACCACTACTATGCTATAATTGTTACTATTTGTACCATAACTGCTACTGTTCTCATCATCACCATCATTATTATCATCTATTTCAGTACTGTTTCAATTACTATAATACTGATATAATGTCATTATGTCATCGTCGAACGTAAAAGCAGTTATGAAGATGAAACTTCCCGATGCCTGTCGTTTTACATGTTAGCTCAGCATTTTTTCTTAGATGATGTAAATTGAATTTCGATGTTAATCAAATCACGCACATCAGCGCACAAGCGGAATTGACTGAAAGGCAAAATGTATAACAAAACAAAGGCAGATGACTCCAACGCCACAGCTGACACGTGGCAATGGGTCTCAGATTTCCCAGGCTTCTTACCGTGGTTCGTGAGCTCCTGGACTGCCGAATCTTGAGGACCGAAGGGCTTATATGTTCCCTTTGCGCCCCTACTCCTTCTGTCCTGCCCTCCCCCCTTGAAATCTTGACCCCTGACCTTTATCCTGCTTGGGATGACGCCTAACCCATCGACCGAACCTTGAAGGATAATGCTAATCATGTGTGCAAACCCCAATCAGAGACGTCAGTTCCCGACCCGCTGCAAGGCCTTGGCTTCGACTTCGTCATCGAGCTCCTGGATTAAACAAACAGCTGATCTTGAAACAAACAAATCTGCTGGCGGCCGTCCCGTTGCTTTGGCATCCGCGAGGAATCCCAGAACAAAGATTTCATCCCTTTTCGGGAATTTCAGCCTTCGGACAAGGTCACGTCCGTATGTCCCTTTTGCCTTGAGGAGGACAGGGTGCCTTGAGGAGGCAGAGCAGCGGCTTATAAGAGCATTGATGAGGTCCTGGGGATCAGGTGTGCAGCTCCCTGTCTTAGGAACTCGAAGTAAGGAAACTGTGGGTGTATGTATATATATATATATATATATATATATATATATATATATATATATATATATATATATATATATATATATATATACACACACACACACACACACACACACACACACACACACACACTATATATATATATAATATAATATATATATATATATATATATATATATATATATATATATATATATATATATATATATATATATATATATATATATATATATATATATATATATATATAGTATATAATATTCATACATTCATACACACATAAACGCATCTATGTTCATTTGCAATATTTATGCGCATGTATATACATATTACATACATACATACATACATACATATATATATATATATATATATATATATATATATATATATATATATATATATATATATATATATATATATATATATATATACACACACACACACACACACACACACACACACATATGTATGTATATGTGTGTCATAATATATATATATATATATATATATATATATATATATATATATATATATATATATATATATATATATATATATATATACTTAAAATATGCATCAATGAGGCCTGAACCCCGGTGCTCCCCCAACGGCGTGTAGTGATCTGCTACACTGTACACCCACAGATCACTCCAGGAGGTAATACAATCATTGAAATATCCTTTCTCACCTCCGACATCTCCCACAGGCAAATAAAATAAAAACTGAGGAACTCAAGGTGGCAACATTGTACCTGGTGCGACCCGCGAGGTGGCGTTAAAATGCCCTGCAATTCCCAGGTGGTTTGTGGGTTGCTTTGAGAACCACGCCCATCTGACCAATGGCAAGAACTCTATTGCGTGGCTCCTTCTCCGAGAACAGAAAGCAACCGCAGGCCTACAGAAAAAGGCGTTTATCTCGCGGAGTGAGGAGGATGCCGCGCACTCGCCACTATTGCCATTCCGCTGCCCAATATTTTTTTTTTTTTACCAAATAAATTATTTTCTTATGTTGTTGTTATTGTATTATGTGTATACCCCGAAGATGATTCTTTCATTTTTGTTTTAAGATTTATATATATACATTCTTTTTTAAAGAGCAAGAGGTCAACATGGTTCTTACAAATACCTATTAAATCTTAATTATTTTACTTTTTCTTAACATTTTATTCAAGTGGTCTATTAATTACTCCAAGTGATTTTAACATTGGTTCTTTTTATACAATTATTTTAATTACTTTTTATGGATTATCATTTGAATTTATTTTACTATTTTCATTTAGATTTATATTTTCACACCAGTTTTAAGATTTGTTTTATCAATTTTAATCAAAAGAGAACCAACTTCTCACATTGTTTCCCGCCCACCATTAACAAGGGAAGTGCAGACAAGGTCAGGGGGGATTCTTGCCGGTGGTCTGCGAGCAGAAAGACAGTCTGTGGAACCCCGGAATGGGCTTCCACCTGTCTTAAGAGCAGCTAAGTGGTCGTGAGGATATTTTAAACATAAGGTGGTAAGACTAATTGGCCAGACTATTTATTCGACCAAGTGACCTCGTGATTAGTGCATTTTTTAAATTATCATCTTCGGGCTTTTTATTGTCGTGTTTTACTGTGTTCGTGTTTTATGTTCCTATTTTAATGTATTAAGCGTTTTCTGTTTTATCGTTTGTTTTATTGTTCTAGTTCGTTTTACCGATTTATTTTAATGTTTTAAGTTCATTTTGCTTTATCGTTCCTTTTATTGTATTGTGTTTTACCTCATTTTATGATTGATTTTAATACCATTTTTTCGTTTTATGTTTGTTCTGTTTTATTACTGTTTTATTGTTTTATCAGTTATCACGAAATAAATAACTATTTAAGTATGTTTCGTTTTATCAACGCCCGAACTTGATTGTTGGAAAAGGATACTAAGAAGGGTAGTAGCAGCCCATTTCCCTCTAGTGATATGCCTTATTTCTTCTTCTTTTTTTTTTTTGGTTCATAATATCAATGTGGTGATCTGCTTAATTGCGTTGGAGGACTCTCTCCCCGCACACGCCTCTCCTCGGCTCATATCACGCGTACCAACCTTTGTGATCTCGCACCATACATATACACCACACACGCATACAACATTTACACACTCTCGCTCCTTTCCTCACATCCGTCTTCCACATTATCATTCTTCTCACATATACACTACGTTCCCATACGTTAATTAAATGGGTGGTGGCAGTGGCTACTTTTCCATTCTTGCGAGACATAATTGTATAAGGTATTTGCTACAGGCGCCGCCCCCCCCCCTCCCGAACGGCCGAGGTCCGAACGGCCGCTCGGCTCGCCACACGTCCCTCGGCCTCATCGCCCCGCCCTGACTGCTTCCGCGTCTGCTGCAGATGCGGTTCCTCGCCCTGCTTCTCCTGCTGGCTCTCGCCTTTGCCTTCGCCGCCGCCAAGACCTTGCCTTGCTGCTTCGGCGGAGGTCACCACGGGGGTCACCACGGGGGTCACCACGGAGGCCATCATGGAGGGCATCACGGTCATCATGGTAAGAAAGTACTTTTTCATATACTGTTCATATGAATATTTTAAAAAATTAATTCATTGACGGTTTCTTGTCTATAATATTTACTGTCAACAAACATCCCTTTTATTAGTCTGCATAATCACACTCTAATAAAACGATTATTTAAATAAACTATTTTCGATCTATTACCAGGTTGATTCAGCAGCGACTTCCGTTTGCCAGCATGACAAATAAAACTTTTCTGAAGATTTGGTTTGTGTTTTCAATCTGATTTCTCCTTTCACCTTCAACAGTGTATAATGACAAGTCACGAGGATGTAAACTTCATTAAGAGGATAAATGTATTTACGAAAATTTATGATCAAGTAGAGTCACTGGACTAATTGCCTTTGATAAGAATAATTTGATGTTGTCAGACTCGGTCCTACTGTCACAGATTTATCCTAAAAGCATTCGTATGACGCTGACAGTGTCACCATCCCAAAGGCCGTCATAAGAGCCATACATTAATCGTTTAATTAATCAATCGAAATTCAACTTTCCTACACTTTAAACCAACTACGTCATACCCGGATGTTATCCATATTTCACTCGATATCTAATGAGATGTCGAGTCCCACCATTTCCGCGCAAATTACACTTGGTAAATCCTCTCTGCACAAATGAATAATATTTAACGCATTTTCGGCTGACGTTACTCTCTGCGTCCCACTTTTCGCTTCGTCATCGTCAAAGGCAACAAGCAAGGAGATCGCTCGGAATGGGCAACCGGAGGCGAGTTCAATCCTGCCCAAGTTGCCCCGAAGTTGGCGATCTCCCATATTAGGTCAAATACGTCTTTCGAGACTCAATAACAATGTATTTTTCATTCAGCCTCATTTTCTTCCCTATAGTGTCTTTGAAAATAAGTGACTGTCGCATTTCTTCTTCTTAATTTGTATTATATGCTACGGATCAAGTCAATGTGTGTATTTTAGACGGAAGAAAATGAACTAATGTTTACTGATTCACTATTTCATAATTTTTGAGTCAGGTACGGATCTGATTCCTCACAAAGAATATGGTACGTATACACATAAGAAAAAAGGATGAAATAGTGAATCAGTAAGCATTAGTTTATTTTCTTTCGTTAAAATACAAGATCACATTGATTTGATCCGTGCCATATGATACAAATTATAAGAAAAAAATGCGAGTCACTTATTTTCGAAGACCCTATAGAGAAGAAAATGTGGCTGGATGAAAACTATTATTACTGAGTTTCAAGTGATGCATTTGATCTAATTGTCTGACTTATCATCAACCATTATCAATTATGAAACGTGGAATTGGTAAAAAAAAAAAAAAAAATAAGTTACGATGCTCTAGGATTTTTGTTTCTCCCGTTTTTCTATTATATATATATATATATATATATATATATATATATATATATATATATATATATATATATATATATATATTATATGTAAAGATAACGAAATATCATTCTTCCTTTACCGTTAAATGCCCTCTCTTTGATAACTATTATATGTGTGCATTTATGTCCATGAAACTTTCATCTTTTATTGAGAAAGATTTCATACTGCAAATCCAGTCATATTGTTGGCCTTACCTCTAGTAGAAATATCTTGTAGGAAAAAAAAATGAAAAACTCTGCAGTGAAGATTTGATGACCTCATAGAAAGTGATCAAATGAAATCAAAATGAATGTCGTTTTAAGCAATTTTTCAAAATCATCCTTTTCAGGGTCATGGAATAACTGCGGCGGATCGCTAGTCAGCATCGTTGGTTACTTTGGCTTTTCACATGGCAAAACCCCCCCGGAAAAGCCCGACGACTCTCGCCCCGCTCTCCCGCTGCTGCGGCCAGAAGCCACACCAGGAAGGAATGGGGACGAAGGAGGGGGGGCATTTCAAATAAAGGGGGGGCCGCACTCTTTTCGATGGCTGGTTGTTGGGGGTCGTTTCTCTCTCGACTCAGGGTGCGCCGCACACAGGGGAGGGAGACGACAGCGTCGCCGGACCAGAACAACGGCCGCGGCGAGCTCCCTCCCGGGCGCGAGCCCTTTTTCTCTCTATCGCCATCGTGGTCGTGCAGCGACGGGGAGGACAGAGGGGGGGAGAGGGGCGGCGCAGGCAGGCCAGCCGGGACAGGCGGGCTGCCAAGGCAGTGGGCACAGGCTCACAGCTGTCAAGGCTGCTCACCCACACACACGCCTGCTTCCGGCAATCCCGCTCCGCACCCTTGAGCTGTGCAAGCTAAGGGCCACCACGCCTTTGCTCACCGCCTCTCCGCCTTCTCCTCCTCCTCTTTCCTCCGCTCTCCGTCGCAGCAACGGGCCGCAGACAAAACTACATACGACTCCAACCCCCCAAAGAACACCACACGCAATGGGGCCCTGGCCGCAACTCGCGCTGCAAGGCTCGGCTCCGGAGGCAAGCAAGCAAGCAAACAAACGGGAGCCGGCAGGAGGCGAGCGAGCCAAGCCCGTGGCAAGGGGGAGGGAGGTACTCTCGCTGGCCCAGTCTCCTTTTCAACCTGCCTCACCCGTGGGCTCCGCAGGAGGAGGGGCGTGGGATTGCCGGGGGTTTCTTCCTTTCTCGCCGCAAGGGTGTGCACACCCGGGATCTAACTCCGCGCTACCGGCGAAACGTGGCCGAGGGGAGAAGAACCGCAGGGGCTCAGCCGTCGCGAGGGGAAGGCCGCAAAAGGGGGGCGGCACTCGGAAACCATTCCGAACGTCAAGAGAGGGGCGGTCGCCTGTGTGAAGGGCAGGACCACAGCCGACACTGGCGGGGGTGGCACGGGGACTGGTTACCCCGGCGGCCCCCGGTCGGCATCGTGGCGCGAGCCCGCGACCTTTGCTGTGCCAGGTTCGGGGGGGAGGGAAATTCGAGGAAGGGACCGACGCCCGAGCTTACCAAGAGCACAGGACGGCGCCCAAACCCCCAAAAGACACCACACACCCCCGGACGTAAGAACAGGGAGAAAAGAGCAGAGCAGCAAGGGACAGAAGGGGAAAGGAGCAGGGAGAGCGCCGCAACGGTGAGGGAGGGTGGGTGTCCCCCTATAGTTGTCGGCGCGGTCCCTCAGCCAACACGACCGCAAACAGGGGCCCCTCCTGCGCCACGCCAAGGGAGAGGACGCCCTCCGCACGCCCCACCACCCACGCCCCGGTAAACGCCTCACTTTCTCGCGGGTGGAGGGCGGGGAGCAACGGGCCCCCAACCGCCAACCCCGCTGCACCGCCTCTTGCCCCCGCCGCCCGCCGCCGCCCGCCCAGCCGCTGAAGGTGGACCACCCTGTAGTTGTCGGCGCGGGCCGACTCAGCCCACACGACCGCGGGGCAGGGCCGCTCGGCCCCGGGGGCCAGGGAAGGCAGCCCCTCCGACGGCCCCGGCAGCCAGGACCCCCAAAGCCTGCCCCGCTTTCGGGGACGGGAGCCGGAGAGGCAGGGGCTTCCTCGCGGCGGCGGGGGCCACGCCCGCGCCGCCGCCCCGGCTCCGCCCTCGGCCCGAAAGAGCGCAGGGGGCAGGAGAGCCCAAGCCGCCCGCTCGGGGGCGAGGCCCCCGGGGCCCCGCACCGCCCGCGCAAGGCCCCGCCGGCCCCGACGGCGAGCTCGCCGCCCGTCCGCCTGCAGCCGCCGAAGGTGGTCCCCCCTATAGTTGTCGGCACGGGCCCTCAGCCCACACGACCGCGGGCAGGGGCCGCTCGGCCCCGGGGGCCAGGGAAGGCAGCCCTCCGACGGCCCCGGCAGCCAGGACCCCCCAAAGCCTGCCCCGCTTTCGGGGACGGGAGCCGGAGAGGCAGGGGCTTCTTCGCGGCGGCGGGGGCCACGCCCGGGCCCGCGCCGCCGCCTCCGCCCCCGGCCCGAGAGGGCGCAGGGGGCGAGGCCCAACCAGCAGGGGGCCCCCGCACCGCCCGCGCAAGGCCCCCGCCCGGTCCCGACGGCGAGCTCGACGCGGGGCTCGCCGCCCGCCCGCCTGCAGCCGAAGGTGGCCCCCCCTATAGTTGTCGGCGCAGGCCCTCAGCCACCACGACCGCGCCCAGGGCCCTCCCTCGGCCGCCCGCCAGGGAAAAACGGCCCCTTCGGGGGCAATCCCGGCAGGGCCGCGCCCGTCCCCTACACCGCCCCCACGGCCCGCGAGGGCGCAGGGGGCCGAAGGGGGAAAGCCCAGCCAGCCCCTGCCCGAGGAAGACGAGGCAGACTGACAGGCAGGTCCAGCCACCGGCCCGCCGCCCTCGGCCTAAGAGGGCGCGGGGACGAAGGGGAAAGGGAAAGGAAGCCCAAGCCGCCAAACCGGGGCGGGCGGCCCTGTACCGCCGGTGCGGGAGGGCAGGCCGGCCCCGACGGCGGCCGCAGCAGCAGCGGGCTCGAGGGGGTCGCCCCCCGCCGCCCGCAGCCGAGGCAGTCCCCTGTCGTTGTCGGCGCAGGCCCTCAGCCACCACGACCGCGCCCAGGGCCCGCCCTTGCCCGTCCGGCCGGGGCAAGGCCCCGTCGGGGGTGCGGCAGGGCCACGCCCGAATCCCACGCCACCGCCCTCGGCCCGAGAGGGCGCCAGGGGCCGATGGGGTAAGCCCGAGCCAACCCCTGTTCTAAGGAAGACGAGGCAGGCGGCCAGGCCAGGCCAGGGCCTGCCGCCCTCGGCCCGAGAGGGGGCGGGGGGGGCCAAAGGGGTAGGGAAAAGCCGTCCCCTGGCCAGCCAAGGAAGATGTGGCTGGCAGGCCAACCCAGGAGGCGCCGCCGCCACCGCAGCCCCCAGGCCCACAATCTCCTCTCCACCCCCCTAGGCTGAACGGCCTCGCTGGGCAGGCCGCCGCGCCGCCCGCCCGCTCAGGCCAGGCGGCGGCACGGGGGAACGGACCGAGTGGGAGACGCGCGGCCGCCGCCCGCCGCCGCCACACAGCAGGCCAAGGGCGGCGCTCGGCTCCGGCGGCCCGCGCTCCCAGCCCCGCCCGGCAGCCCGCCCACCCGCGGCCCCGCACCCAACCGCCTCTCCCTATAGTTGGCGGCGCAGGCCCGCAGCAACACGACCAGAGACAGGGCCTTCCATCCGTCCGGCAGGAGCGGGAGCCTGGCGGACGCTAGGGGGACTGCCCGGCGGGGCGGTCGTGATGTGGGTTGCCTGGGGGGGGGGGTAATGGAGGGGGTCACCGAACCACCACTCGCCCCCACCCCACCGTTCCTCTCGTACTGGGCGGGGCTCCTGTCGCGACGTGGCGACGTTGTTAATAGCACAATGTAATTCACGAAAAATGGTGTTCATTTTTTAAGAAAATCATCTGAATTATTGTGGTGCTTGTGGCAATTATTACTTTATTTCCGTACATCTGGCAACGAGTGCATTGTTGACGTGCATCTTCCCCAATTGTTGATCAACCGTTGTTCGGATTAATTTAATTCCAAATTCCACTTTCATGGTGCAATATGAAATAAGATTAAAAACACATGAGTTTATTTGATTTATTTGAAGTGATATATATATATATATATATATATATATAATATATATATATATATATATATATATATATATACGGAGAAAGACCATTAGAGGGAAAATTCAGGAAAACCACTGCAAGCACGACATGTTGGTCACGTGTTCCTCGTCACTGTTTCCTCTGAAGTTTCCTGAAAAAAACGAGCTGTGATCATGGATTAACGACAACAGAGAAAACATAAACAAAAGTGACATTCCATTACTAGGAATAACAACAACAGCAAGAATAGATAATAATATCACTATCAACCATAATGGCATAATTGATTATATTGATAATAACAACCGTAATGATTACAACTAATGGTTTCCTACTCTACTCACAGCCTCCGAAGCCTCCGCCAAAGCCTCCTCCGCCTGAAAAAAATGTCAATTTCTCGTAAAATGTAAAATATTTTCAACAATGCAGCGTGAAGATGAGAATTTCTGCGAATATATATTTATTTTCATTATTACAAATGTGTATTTTAGTGTTTCATTAGATGTTTTCATTTTAGTTCGTTAGATAGTTTTTTCCCTTTATATAATAATGCGTTTTGGGGAAAAAATAAATAAATATGATTTTCAGCGTGCAGTCTGCATGTGGTCTTTGCGGGTTATGCAAGACTTTTTCCTCTCTCTAACGGACACAATAATCAAATCAAACAAAGACGTGCGAGTACACACACACACACACACACACACACACACACACACACACACACACACACACACACACACACATCATATATATACCTATATATATATATATATATATATATATATATATATATATATATATATATATATATATATATATATACTATATATATATATATATATATATATATATATATATATATAAAATCAGGTAAACTAACACGTAGAAGGAAATTCCACTCCATACATGTCAATCATAACCAATGCCGATGATTGCAAAAATATTGCAAATGCAAGCCAGAGAAGAAGGCTGCAGGCCAGCGCCAGAGGAACCGCTATGAGGAGGAGAAAGAGGGAGTGCTTCCGCCGGATGAAGCGGGCCGTCAGGGAGTCTTCCACACGCCATCTCCCTCGGAGTACTCACCTCCCAGTCCTCCACCGCCTCCGAAGCCTCCGCCGAAGCCTCCACCGCCATGACCTCCATGGTGACCTCCGTTGCCTCCTCCGTGACCGCCGTGGTGACCTCCGCCGCCACAGCAGGCCAAGGACTTGGCGCCGACGAAGGCGACGGCGAGAGCCAGGAGGAGGACGAGGGCGAGGAACCGCATCTGAAGGGAGCGTCGAGGGAGAAGGACCCTGAGGAGCTTGCCTTTTCGGGAAGCATTTTTTTGTTATTAATTTTAATTTATCAAGAATTTAGTCAATAGTATTTTCATTATACTATTATTACTATTATTGTTCTTATCATTATTACTACTTACTATTATATTTTATTATTATTATTATTATTATTACTGCTACTACTATAACTGCTATAATTGTTACTATTTGTACCATAACTGCTACTGTTCTCATCATCACCATCATTATTATCTATTTAGTACTGTTTCAATTACTATATACTGATATAATGTCATTATGTCATCGTCGAACGTAAAAGCAGTTATGAAGAAACTTCCCGATGCCTGTCGTTTTACATGTTAGCTCAGCATTTTTTCTTAGATGATGTAAATTGAATTTCGATGTTAATCAAATCACGCACATCAGCGCGCGAGCGGAATTGACTGAAAAGCAAAATGTATAACAAAACAAAGGCAGATGACTCCAACGCCACAGCTGACACATGGCAATGGGTCTCAGATTTCCCAGGCTTCTTACCGTGGTCTTCGTGAGCTCCTGGACTGCCGAATCTTGAGGACCGAAGGGCTTATATGTTCCCTTTGCGCCCCTACTCCTTCTGCCCCCTTGAAATCTTGACCCCTGACCTTTATCCTGCTTGGGATGACGCCTAACCCATCGACCGAACCTTGAAGGATAATGCTAATCATGTGTGCAAACCCAATCAGAGACGTCAGTTCCCGACCCGCTGCAAGGCCTTGGCTTCGACTTCGTCATCGAGCTCCTGGATTAAACAAACAGCTGATCTTGAAACAAACAAATCTGCTGGCGGCCGTCCCGTTGCTTTGGCATCCGCGAGGAATCCCAGAACAAAGATTTCATCCCTTTTCGGGAATTTCAGCCTTCGGACAAGGTCACGTCCGTATGTCCCTTTTGCCTTGAGGAGGACAGGGTGCCTTGAGGAGGCAGAGCAGCGGCTTATAAGAGCATTGATGAGGTCCTGGGGATCAGGTGTGCAGCTCCCTGTCTTAGGAACTCAAAGTAAGGAAACTGTGGTGTGTGTGTATGTATATATATATATATATATATATATATATATATATATATATATATATATATATATATATATATATATATATATATATATATATATATATATATATATATATATATATATATATATATATATATATATATATATATATATATATATATATATATATATATGTATATAATATACATACATGTATATTAATATATATATATATATATATATATATATATATATATATATATATATATATATATATATATATATATATATATATATATATATATATATATATATCTGTGTGTGTGGTCACAAAATGTGCACTCCGCCCTGACTGCTTCCGCGTCTGCTGCAGATGCGGTTCCTCGCCCTGCTTCTCCTGCTGGCTCTCGCCTTTGCCTTCGCCGCCGCCAAGACCTTGCCTTGCTGCTTCGGCGGAGGTCACCATCACCACGGGGGTCATCACCACGGGGTCACCACGGTCACGGGGGTCACCACGGGGGAGGCCATCATGGAGGGCATCACGGTCATCATGGTAAGAAAGTACTTTTTCATATACTGTTCATATGAATATTTTAAAAATTAATTCATTGACGGTTTCTTGTCTATATTTACTGTCACCAAACATCCCCTTTTATTAGTCTGCATACAATCACACTCTAATAAAACGATTATTTAAAGAATACCTAAACTATTTTCGATCTATTACCAGGTTGATTCAGCAGCGACTTCCGTTTGCCAGCATGACAAATAAAACTTTTCTGAAGATTTGGTTTGTGTTTTCAATCTGATTTCTCCTTTCACCTTCAACAGTGTATAATGACAAGTCACGAGGATGTAAACTTTATTAAAAGGATAAATGTATTTACGAAAATTTATGCACAAGTAGAGTCACTGTACTCATTGCCTTTGATAAGAATAATTTGATGTTGTCAGACTCGGTCCTACTGTCACAGATTCATCCTAAAAGCATTCGTATGACGCTGACAGTGTCACCATCCCAAAGGCCGTCATAAGAGCCATACATTAATCGTTTAATTAATCAATCGAAATTCAACTTTCCTACACTTTAAACCAACTTTGCGTACGTCATACCCGGATGTTATCCATATTTCACTCGATATCTAATGAGATGTCGAGTCCCACCATTTCCGCGCAAATTACACTTGGTAAATCCTCTCTGCACAAATGAATAATATTTAACGCATTTTCGGCTGACGTTACTCTCTGCGTCCCACTTTTCGCTTCGTCATCGTCAAAGGCAACAAGCAAGGAGATCGCTCGGAATGGGCAACCGGAGGCGAGTTCAATCCTGCCCAAGTTGCTCCGAAGTTGGCGATCTCCCATATTAGGTCAAATACGTCTTTCGAGACTCAATAACAATGTATTTTTCATTCAGCCTCATTTTCTTCCCTATAGTGTCTTTGAAAATAAGTGACTGTCGCATTTCTTCTTATTTGTATTATGCTACGGATCAAGTCAATGTGTGTATTTTGGACGGAAGAAAATGAACTAATGTTTACTGATTCACTATTTCATAATTTTTGAGTCAGGTACGGATCTGATTCCTCACAAAAGAATATGGTACGTATACACATAAGAAAAACGATGAAATAGTGAATCAGTAAGCATTAGTTCATTTTCTAAAATACAAGATCACATTGACTTGATCCGTGCCATATGATACAAATTATAAGAAAAAAAAAATGCGATAGTCACTTATTTTCGAAGACCCTATAGAGAAGAAAATGTGGCTGGATGAAAAACTATTATTATTGAGTTTGAAATGATGCATTTGATCTAATTCTCATGATCAATTATGAAACGTGGAATTGGCAAAGAAAAGAAAAGAAAAATAAAAAGTTACGATGCTTTAGGATTTTTGAATTTCTCCCGTTTTGTCTAATATATAAGGAAATTTCATTCTTCATTTACCGTACAAATGCGCTCTCTTTGATAACTATTATATGTGTGCATTTATGTCCATGAACTGTTATCTTTGATTGAGAACCAGATTTTTACTGCAGCAAATCCAGTCATATTGTTGGCCTTACCTCTAGTAGAAATATCTTGTAGGGAAAAAGATGTAAACTCTTCAGTGAAGATTTGATGACCTCATAGAAAGTGATCAAATAAAATATCAAAATGAATGTCGTTTTGAACAATTTTTCAAAATCATCCTTTTAATCCAAAATTATTATGATGTTCATTTGAACTATTTTTCACAAAGATGAGAAATAATGACAAATATCCCTCTGAAAATTCAACCTTAACCACGTCAATCACCATCTCAATCAGTGATTCCCAGCCCCTTCACCCAGTGGCACCCAAGGCTCCATGGCCCCGTCCAGTGCCATCTTCTCTAATTGTTACTTCTTATGAACAGTGCCATGGTGCCAACAGCTATAGGACAAGAATACTTTAGGGAAAGACTGCAATTTATTGATATGTGAGAGATGATTGTATGCATGCCCTGTAGATGAGATACAATTTAGTTTAATTCGATGTCTAAATTACCATATCCCCCCCCCCCACCCCTCACCACCACCACCACCACCAGAAAGTACCACGTGACCCCCAGGTTGGAAATTCCCAATCTAAATGGACCCTGTAAACTTTGATCTAGAATAACCATTTATACTAATCTTATTCATTTTATCATCACTTATTCTTTTCTCTTTCTCTTTTCTATACATGTGATTCAGCCAAGACACTGTTTTCCCATTTATGGCAGAAAATGAATGACATCACAACACCTCTCTGAAAACCTACAAAACGTGATTTTCATGTCCAGGGAAAGGGCTAAAAAAAAAAAAAAAAAAAAAAAAAAAAAAAAAAAAAAAAAAAAAAAAAAACTTTTAGACCGACCGCATCTTCGGGCGACGGCGCTGCTGGGAAGGACGGAGAGGTTGGCTTCAGGAGAACACAAGATGAACCTTCTGTGAATCGGGTGTGATTGATGGGGTATTATTTAATGACCTGCCGCCTCAGGAGCTAAGGTCGTTAGCGGCGTCTATTGAATGTAGCACACACACACACACACACACACACACACACACACACACACACACACACACACACATACACACACACAAACACACACACACACACATATAAACACGCACACACACCACACAAACACACACATATATATATGTGTATATGTATATGTATATATATGTATATATATGTATATATATGTATATATATGTATATATATATATAATATATATATATATATATATATATATATATATATATATATATATATATATATATATATATATATATATATATATATATATATATATATATATATATATAATATATATTATATATATATATATATATATATATATATATATATATATATATATATATATATATATATATATATATATATATATATATATATATATATATATATATATATATATATATATATAATATAATATATATATATATATATATATATATATATATATATATATATATATATATATATATATATATAACCATTACTCGCTGACAAGATCAAGAGAAGAGTGATCCCGTTTATGTGTGGGACATATTGTACAATAAAACTGAAGCAGATTTTTCAAAGTCTTTAATCTGCAATGACGCCTCCAAAGGGATTGGCCGAGAGACGGAAATCGGTTGGTCACGTGATGCGTTGACGATCGGCTTTTCGTGGTTTCCTCAGGTTTTCTGAAAGTTTGATGATAATTAGAATAATAGCCATGATGGTGACTAAGCAAAATGACAGAAAGGTAAATGTAATGCAAATGAATAAGATGATTATATCATAAAAATACATTTCTATTTGGAATTTTACTTGCACAGCAAATGAACAGAATTTTGGATAAAACTCACATCCTCCGAAACCGCCGCCAAAGCCTCCTCCACCTGCAGGCAAAGACGTGTTTGAAATGAGTTTCTGCGTCAAAGGAAATGATCTCCTGCCCTCAGTGCACTCACAACAGTCAACGATTTCCTTGCCTGAGTAAGGATGTCCATGAATGCTCTTCCTGCATATAGGCTACTCACCTCCCAGTCCTCCACCGCCTCCGAAGCCTCCACCTGCCTCCACCGCCATGACCCTCCATGGTGACCCCCCCTCCGCCGCACAGCAGGCCAGGGACTTGGCGCCGACGAAGGCGACGGCGAGAGCCAGGAGAAGGACGAGGGCGAGGAACCGCATCTGCAGGAGACCAGAAGCTCTTGTGTAAAACTGATCACGACAAAGGAACAAGGCCTAGACACAGATGCCGAACCAAGAACACTGGAAAATGGAAGCTTCCGATTCTAATCTGTGTTGTTCTGAACGGCGCTTCGATCCCTTGCCTCTTACCGTGGTCGCCGTGAGGGACCGGACTGCCGAATCCCGACGGCGTAAGGGCTTATATGTGCCTCTGTCCCTGCCTCTTCTGTCCCGGGAAGCATGACCTTTGATCCTTATCTTGTCTGGGGTGACCTTGATGGTTCCTGCTTATCATGCGAGTCAATCTCAGGCAGATAAGACACGCGAGCAGCATCGGGATCCCCTAAACGACGCAACTAAAGTTATCAATATGTTTCCATCGTCGTGATTGGATAATGGTAGTGATAATAATAATTCTGTTACACCGGCGTCAGCTGCAGATCTCCGCCCGCTTCTCCTGCTTTCTCTCGCCTTTGCCTCCGCCGGCGCCAACGAGGTCAACAAAAGGGACAATGCGGGGTCACGGGGTCATTCCGGAAGCTATAAGGGAGTGATTTTCATATATTGCTTGTCCATAACTCGCTTTGTCTCCGCCATGACCTCCATGATGACCTCCGTTGCCTCCTCCGTGACCGCCGTGGTGACCTCCGCCGCCACAGCAGGCCAAGGACTTGGCGCCGACGAAGGCGACGGCGAGAGCCAGGAGGAGGACGAGGGCGAGGAACCGCATCTGAAGGGAGCGTCGAGGGAGAAGGACCCTGAGGAGCTTGGCCTTTTCGGGAAGCATTTTTTGTTATTAATTAATTCATTTATTAAGGATTTAGTCAATAGTATTTTCATTATTACTAATTATTACTTCTATTATTGTTCTTATCATTACTACTACTACTATTATTATTGTTACTGTCATTATTATCATTATTATTATTATTACTACTACCACTACTATAACTGCTATAATTGTTACTATTTGTACCATAACTGCTACTGTTCTCATCATCACCATCATTATTATCATCTATTTCAGTACTGTTTCAATTACTATAATACTGATATAATGTCATTATGTCATCGTCGAACGTAAAAGCAGTTATGAAGACGAGGCTTCCCGATGCCTGTCGTTTTACATGTTAGCTCAACATTTTTTCTTAGATGATGTAAATTGAATTTCGATGTTAATCAAATCACGCACATCAGCGCACAAGCGGAATTGACTGAAAAGCAAAATGTACAACAAAACAAAGGCAGATGACTCCAACTCCACAGCTGACACGTGGCAATGGGTCTCAGATTTCCCAGGCTTCTTACCGTGGTCTTCGTGAGCTCCTGGACTGCCGAATCTTGAGGACCGAAGGGCTTATATGTTCCCTTTGCGCCCCTACTCTTCTGCCCCCCCCCCCCCCCCTTGAAATCTTGACCCCTGACCTTTATCCTGCTTGGGATGACGCCTAACCCATCGACCGAACCTTGAAGGATAATGCTAATCATGTGTGCAAACCCAATCAGAGACGTCCGTTCCCGACCCGTTGCAAGGTCTTGGCTTCGACTTCGTCATCGAGCTCCTGATTAAACAGCTGATCTTGAAATTCTGAATCTGCTGGCGGCCGTCCCGTTGCTTTGGCATCCGCGAGGAATCCCAGAACAAAGATTTCATCCCTTTTCGGGAATTTCAGCCTTCGGACAAGGTCACGTCCGTATGTCCCTTTTGCCTTGAGGAGGACAGGGTGCCTTGAGGAGGCAGAGCAGCGGCTTATAAGAGCATTGATGAGGTCCTGGGGATCAGGTGTGCAGCTCCCTGTCTTCGGAACTCAAAGTAAGGAAACTGTGTGTGTGTGTGTGTGTGTGTGTGTATATATATATATATATATATATATATATATATATATATATATATATATATATATATATATATATATATATATATATATATATATATATATATATATAATATATATATATATATATATATATATATATATATATATATATATATATATATATATATATATATATTATATATATATATATATATATATATATATATATATATATATATATATATATATATATATATATATATATATATATATATATATATATATATATATATATGTATATATATACATATTCATATATATATATATATTTATATATATATAATATATATATATATATATATATATATATATATATATATAATATATATAATATATATATATATATATATATATATATATATATATAATATATATATATATACCCACACACACCACACACACACACACACTATGTCACACACACACATTATATATTGTGTGTGTTGTGTATATATTATTTTTGTCATAAAATATGCCCAATGAGGCCTGAACCTCGGTGCTCCCCAACGGCGCCGCCCCCCCCCCCCGAACGCCGAGGTCCGAACGGCCGCTCGGCTCGCCACACGTCCCTCGCCTCATCGCCCCGCCCTGACTGCTTCCGCGTCTGCTGCAGATGCGGTTCCTCGCCCTGCTTCTCCTGCTGGCTCTCGCCTTTGCCTTCGCCGCCGCCAAGACCTTGCCTGCTGCTTCGGCGGAGGTCACCACGGGGTCACCACGGGGGTCACCACGGGGTCACCACGGAGGCCATCATGGAGGGCATCACGGTCATCATGGTAAGAAAGTACTTTTTCATATACTGTTCATATAATATTTTAAAAATTAATTATTGACAGTTTCTGTCTATAATTTTACCAAATCCCCTTTTATTAGTCTGCATACAATCACACTCTAATAAAACGATTATTTAAAGAATACCTAAACTATTTTCGATCTATTACCAGGTTGATTCAGCAGCGACTTCCGTTTGCCAGCATGACAAATAAAACTTTTCTGAAGATTTGGTTTGTGTTTTCAATCTGATTTCTCCTTTCACCTTCAACAGTGTATAATGACAAGTCACGAGGATGTAAACTTCATTAAGAGGATAAATGTATTTACGAAAATTTATGCACAAGTAGAGTCACTGTACTCACTGCCTTTGATAAGAATAATTTGATGTCAGACTCGGTCCTACTGTCACAGATTCATCCTAAAAGCATTCGTATGACGCTGACAGTGTCACCATCCCAAAGGCCGTCATAAGAGCCATACATTAATCGTTTAATTAATCAATCGAAATTCAACTTTCCTACTTTAAACCAACTTTGCGTACGTCATACCCGGATGTTATCCATATTTCACTCGATATCTAATGAGATGTCGAGTCCCACCATTTCCGCGCAAATTACACTTGGTAAATCCTCTCTGCACAAATGAATAATATTTAACGCATTTTCGGCTGACGTTACTCTCTGCGTCCCACTTTTCGCTTCGTCATCGTCAAAGGCAACAAGCAAGGAGATCGCTCGGAATGGGCAACCGGAGGCGAGTTCAATCCTGCCCAAGTTGCCCCGAAGTTGGCGATCTCCCATATTAGGTCAAATACGTCTTTCGAGACTCAATAATAATGTATTTTTCGTTCAGTCTCATTTCCTTCTTTATAGTATCTTTGAAAACAAGTGACTGTCGGATTTTTCCTTCTTATTTGTATTTTATGCTACGGATCAAGTCAATGTGTGTATTTTGGACGGAAGAAAATGGTCTAATGCTTACTGATTCACTATTTCATAATTTTTGAGTCAGGTACGGATCTGATTCCTCACAAAGAATATGGTACGTATACACATAAAAAAACGATGAAATAGTGAATCAGTAAGCATTAGTTCATTTTCTAAAATACAAGATCACATTGACTTGATCCGTGCCATGTAATACAAATTAGAAGAAAAATGCGATAGTCACTTATTTTCGAAGACCCTATAGAGAAGAAAATGTGGCTGGATGAAAATCTATTATTATTGAGTTTGAAATGATGCATTTGATCTAATTCTCATTATCAATTATGAAACGTGGAATTGGTAAAGAAAAGAAAAAGAAAAAGTTACGATGCTTTAGGATTTTGAATTTCTCCCGTTTTGTCTAATATATAAGGAAATTTCATTCTTCATTTACCGTACAATGCGCTCTCTTGATAACTATTATATGTGTGCATTTATGTCCATGAACCTGTTATCTTTTATTGAGAACAGATTTTATTACTGCAAATCCAGTCATATTGTTGGCCTTACCTCTAGTAGAAATATCTTGTAGGGAAAAAAAAATGTAAACTCTTCAGTGAAGATTTGATGACTCATAGAAAGTGATCCAATGAAATATCAAAATGAATGTCGTTTTAAGCAACTTTTCAAAATCATTCTTTGAAGCCAAAATTATTATGATATTTATTTGAACTATTTTTCACAAGATGTTAAGATAATGACAAATATCCCTCTGAAAATTCCACAGTTATCCAAGTATTGCGGTTCAGCAGAGATCCAATGAGTTCTATCTGATTTAATGAGCCGTCCGCGGTTTGGCCTTAAGTCGGCCTGTACTTACACATGCATGGCTTAATCTTTGAGACAAGCATATGACTACTGGCAGGATCAAGCAGGTAGAAGCAACAACGCACACTAGCGTGGTCGTCGTCGTCGTCATATGAACAACATTAGGAGGAGGAGGACATGGAGGAAGAAGAAGAAGAAGGAGGAGGAGGGAGACGATAGCAGCTTTCTCGAGCGGGGGGCGGCAGCAGCAGCCACAATGGGCTGCGCTGCCCCTTACGGGGGGCACTGCCGCCGCCGCCGCTCTTCCGCTGCGGTCTTTCCTTCCTGCCTGCCTTCTTCCTCTCACTTCTCTCTCGACCTCTCCGGTTATTGTTACTTTGGCTTTTCACATGGCAAACCCCCCCGGAAAAGCCCGACGACTCTCGCCCCGCTCTCCCGCTGCTGCGGCCAGAAGCCACACCAGGAAGGAATGGGGACGAAGGAGGGGGGGCATTTCAAATAAAGGGGGGGCCGCACTTTTTTCGATGGCTGGTTGTTGGGGTCGTTTCTCTCTCGACTCAGGGTGCGCCGCACACAGGGGAGGGAGACGACAGCGTCGCCGGACCAGAACAACGGCCGCGGCGAGCTCCCTCCCGGGCGCGAGCCCTTTTTCTCTCTATCGCCATCGTGGTCGTGCAGCGACGAGGAGGACAGAGGGGGGAGAGGGCGCGGCGCAGGCAGGCCAGCCGGCCGGGGACAGGCGGGCTGCCAAGGCAGTGGGCACAGGCTCACAGCTGTCAAGGCTGCTCACCCACACACACGCTCTTCCGGCAATCCCGCTCCGCACCCTTGAGCTGTGCAAAGCTAAAGGCCACCACGCCTTTGCTCACCGCCTCTCCGCCTTCTCCTCCTCCTCCTCTTTCCTCCGCTCTCCGTCGCAGCAACGGGCCGCAGACAAAACTACATACGACTCCAACCCCCCAAAGAACACCACACGCAATGGGGCCCTGGCCGCAACTCGCGCTGCAAGGCTCGGCTCCGGAGGCAAGCAAGCAAGCAAGCACAAACGGGAGCCGGCAGGAGGCGAGCGAGCCAAGCCCGTGGCAAGGGAAGGGGAGGTACTCTCGCTGGCCCAGTCTCCTTTTCAACCTGCCTCATATACATATAATATATATATATATATATATATATATATATATATATATATATATATATATATATATATATATATCATATATTATGTTATATTATATATATCATAATATTATATATATAATATTATATATATATATATATATATTATATATATAGTTATATATTATTGCATATATGCATATATATGTATATGTATATATATATATATATATATATATATATGATAATATATATATTATATATATATATATAATATATAATAAACATATATATATATATATATATATATATATATATATATATATATATATATATATATATATATATATTATATATATATATATATATATNCAGCCGTCCTGTCGAAAGAAGCAAGCGAGGCGCCGCAATGTGCGTTCGACACGTCGATGGAATCAACGGGAAGAATTGAGGATAGCCACCAAACTTCGCCTTCTTGCCGCGGTTTCCTCGCCCACGACGCAAGTGATCCCCCGTTAAGAGTCTTGCTGGTTTCAACACTTGTGTGTGTCTCGCCTCCCCTCAATGAGGGCTCAAAAGGGGAGGAGAACTGCGCCTGAGAAACGCGTAGCCCACGGCGCCCGAACCACTCACAGGCTCACAAAGCTGCTGGGCCCGGCGCCGATCGTCACCTCGTAAGCCCCGTGACCAAGGCGGGGCTGACAAAAAGACTTTTTGGGTTCGGCCTCTCCCCATATCCCCGGAGAGGGGGGGAGGAGAGGCCGAGGGGCCTTGCCGAGAGCCCCCCGTGGATGGGACGCAAGCCAGCCAGCCAGCCAGCCAGCCAAGCGCGACAGGGAGATGAGGAGGATGGAGGAGTGAGAACAACGACGGGCAGCCCAATGGCTGACGGTGGTCGGGCGCCCAAAAAACGACCACCCCCACCTCCTGGTCGCTGGCTTGCTCGGCTCGCTCGCATCGCGCACCGTTGACACGTCGTTTCGAGTTGAACAGGAACAAGAGAGATGCTCTTTCGGCAGCGGCGGCGGCGGCGGCGGCGCGGCTCCCTCCTCCGCCGATGGCAGTGGTGGTGCCGCTGCTGCTGCTGCTGCTTGCTGCACACTGATGCTATAGCTCTCTTGGGTAGCACTGCTCGTTAATGATTCCTTCCGCGGTTCACCTACGGAACACTTGTTACGACTTTTACTTCCCTCTAAATGACCAGCTTGGACACCTTTCGTGAACGCCGAGGGCGTGCCCGCGAGGCAGGTAGCGGCTCCAGGGCGCCAGTCGGTTGCTTCACTAGACGCATTATGGTAGTGGGACGGGCGGGTGTACAAAGGGCAGGGACTAAATCGGCCCAATCTGGTGAATTGCGCCTACTGGGGAAATTCTCGTTCTGGGAACATTTTGCAAGCCCATCCCCTTAAGGAAGCTTTCACGAGGTTTACCCGTCCTCTCGAGCACGCCAGCTCGCTGAACTCTCCATTGTAGCGCGCGTGCGGCCCAGAACATCTAGGGATCACAGACTGTTATGGCTCAACTCTGTGCGGCTAGTAATATTTTTGCTGCCCGCTTATCCCTCTAAAGAGGGGACTGCGAAGCGGACGCAGTTTCCCGGGCCGTCGGGGCGGCCGCCGGGCGCTAACCGACGCGACGGTGTTTGAGGCCCGCAACGACGACGCGGGTTTCGGGGAACCGCGCGCCCCGCATGCGCGAACGCAACGGGGGCAACGGGGTTGAGATCCGTCGAACTATTTAGGCAGGCTAAGAGTCTGTTCGTTATCGGAATTCACCAGACATACTCCACCAACTAAGAACGGGCCTGCACACCACCACCGAAATCGAGAAAAGAGCCCTTCATTCTGTCAATGCCTTCCGGTGTCCTGGCCTGGTGAGTTTCCCCGTGTTGAGTCAAAATTGAGCCGCAGGGCTCCACTGCCTGGTGGTGCCCTCCGTCAATTCCTTTAGAGTTTCAGCCTTTGCACATACTTCCCCCGGAACTGCAAAGACTTTGGTTTCCCGGAAGCACCCGCCGGGTCATGGGAATAACTGCGGCGGGATCGCTGTCAGGCATCGTTTAAGGTAGAACTAGGCGGTATCTGACGGCCTTCGACTCTAACTTTCGTTCTTGATCAATGAAAACATCCTTTGGCAGATGCTTTCGCAGTAGGTCGTCATGCGACGGTCTAAGAATTTCAGCCTCTAGCGTCGCAGTACGAATGCCCCCGTCTGCTTCTATTATCATTACCTCGGGTTTCCGAAAAACCGACAAAATAGAACCGAGGTCCTGTTCCATCATTCCATGCACGACCATTCGGCTGTTAAGCAAAACAGCCTGCTCTGAGCACTCTAATTTTTTCAAAGTAAACGTGCCGGCCAC